ACTTGGTGGGGACCTGTAGCCTCCCGGAGATCTGGCTGTCCCATTCCTCAGTGCCCCTGGGCACAGGTTGTTCCCTCTATCAGGGAGGCAAATGCAACCTTTCCCCTTTAGCTTGTTATTTCCATCTGCTTGGGTGAGTAAGAGCTGTTCTGCTGCCACAAGCTCTTTCAGAGTGCAAATTTCATTGAGAGCACTAGCAAAGGCAGCCAAAGCGTGCTGGAGCTGGGAGACCGGACTTTGGGCACTGGGGTGAGTTCTGGAGGCAGGAAGGCTCCAGCCAGGCACGTCCTTGAGATCTGTCTCAGTGGTGAGGGGAAATAAGCAAGAAGAAAAGAGGAGAGGCTTTTTGCAGCCTTTGGCATCGTTCCTGGCTCTGCAAGAAATCCCACAAAGCCCTTTCAGCCTGACCTGTGCCAAACAGACCTATTTAGCACAGGGCCATGGGTTGTTTCTTGCCAGCAGCTGGTACAAAACACTCGTGGGTGGAGGAAGCTGAACCATCTACTCTTGTGGCATTGCAGATTTTGTTCTAAAGCAACAATTCTTACGCTTTGGGTGGCAGAGGTAGCTTTGCTGGTGTAGCTTTGCGTTGCCACTGTCTTCTGCTGCTTGGTTGTTGCCCAGCTGAAGCACACCAGGTTGAATAGGAGTAGCCCACGTTGTGCCGGAGCTGCAAGGAAAGGGATGGCTGTGCCTTGATCTGTTTTTGAGTGCTGTGACCAGCAACCATGATGCTACTGAGCTCTATGGGGGGAAGAAATGGAGCAGGCAGCATGAAACGAGATGTCTTTGCAGCAGAAGACAGGGTCTTGCATAAAACACCACTGTGCTGCCCAGGGGAGAACCACCACCAAGTCTGGCTTGCACGTCCTGCCCATACTGGAGTTTGGACCCAGGGTGAGGAGCTCTGCGGCTGCGTGTGGTTACCCGTGTTTGTAAACCTGGCTGCGAATGGGGAAATTCTTTATCTTCCTGCGAACAACCTCATCGGAAGCAGGTTGTTTTGTGAAGCCTTTGCAGGAGGTGGGTTTCTCAGGCAAGGATGGGATTTCTGGCCAGAGGACATCTGTAACATCTGCTGCATTTCAGATGGGGCTCTTGCCTTTCCCACCCTCTCTTTGCAGCTAGCCAGGCTGGGAAGAAAAATACTTCCAGTGAAGGTTCAGACCTTTCCCTTTGAGACCTGAGCCTTGCAATGCCTGCTTTCCTCTTCTTTTATTACTCCCAGCCCAGTGGGCTGCGGTGCCCAGAAAGTCTCATTATTGTTTCCTCCTAAAGCCAGCCCTGCTTTCCCTTCCCTGCAAATGGGACCAGTCCAGCAGCCCAGGAATGGTTGTCCCTGGTGTGGGGAACTGCTGGAGCTCTGGAGAGAAAAAGAAACCGGGCTAGGGTTTCTTTTCTAGCATTTTCAAAATGCTGTGGCATTTTGCTGATTTCCAGTAAAATGATCAAATGAAAAAAAAAAAAATCCCTTCATAGTGTCTATCTGAATTGCTTTTGCTTTTCCTCTGAGGAGGAGGGATGCCGAGGGCCCGGCAGCCCCGGTCATGGGAAAAGGATGCTGACAGCCCACAGGGATTTGCTTTTGCCTTGTATGATCTTGGCAGGAAGGAGACTTCCTGGGAATGTTGCATGCCGGGGTATGAAAAACCCCGTTCTCCTAAGGGCTGGGCCGAGCCCCCACCATGGATCGCAGGATGGGAATTGATGGGCTGCCAAGCCCGCGGGAGACTGGTCCCCACCCCGGGGCTCGCTGCCGAAAGCAAACCTCCAGCGGTGCCAGCTCACTTGCTGCGAAGGATTCGCATCCTCCGCCTTCATATCTTCAGCTGTTCGGTAATTTTAAAGCAGGAATTGTTTCCTTCTGCTGCTTCTGCATGGCCGGTGCAGCGATGGCTGCGGTGCTGGTGGCCGTGGCAGTGATGGATGTCCTCTTGGGTGACAGCAGGGAACAGCCTGGCCACAGCTACACGGTTCCAGCTGGCTCCCAAGCTGCAGCACAGCTATTTAAGTGCCCCCCCTGCTTTTGTCTTCACCTGGGAGTCTCCCCTGCCCGCTTGCTCTCTCATTCTCTCCTTTTACTGAGTTGTCATAAAAATTTACTACCTAAAGGTCTCGGTGTCCTGCTGGCAACCAGCAACGCCCACGGGTGACGACGGCATCTGGCAGCCTCTGCCAGCAGCTGGGCACAGAGCTATAGCCAGGCAGCCACGGTCCGTAGCTGGCCCTCAACCCCCAGTGTTGTGAAATACCATCAGATTGGCTTCAAAACAGTTGATTGGCAAAAAGAGAAGTGTTTTCTGGTGGTTCAGTGGTTTCTTCTGGAGTTTGTGGTAGTCATGTTTTCTTTGCATTTCTAACCATTGTTAGGTGCTGGTCTATAGTCCTGTCTTTCCTCCCCTGGTGTTTTTATTGAAACATCAGATCTTTTGCTGCAAACTCACCTTTCAGAACTCTTAAGGGGAGGGGGGGAAAAGCAGAACTGGGAACAGTGACCTGGTCCAGAGTCCTGTCCCCAAGGTGACAGCTCAGTCCCAGCAGCTCCTTGCAGAAATAGGGCTGTTCCTCCACCCTTGGCAAACCCACCCTGACCCCCCAGTGATGGGCTCGGATGCTGTGGAAACCCTCCCCTCTTGCTGAGTCTTGTGTGCTCGTGAATTCGTGGCTGGTTTGTGCTTCTGTCAGCTGGAGATAGTTCAGTTCCTCTCCTCGGCTGCTGTTTGAAAACAGCTCCTGTGACCCCTCCGCTCCCATCTCCCTGGTGGGGTGCAAACCTTGGGTAGAAAAATCCACGATAAAACCTTGAAAAGTGGGAATAGCAGAGGCTTTCAGTGGCTTCATCCAGCTGGAAGAATATGGAGTCGCCGTGAGTGAGCTCTGCCAGTCGGCAAGGTGGTCAGTGCAGCTGGCTCAGGTTTGAGTGTTTTGGGCAGGGGACCTCCCAGGTGTCCTGTGGGGCAAGGCAGAAAACCTCCCAGTTTGGGGTCTGGAGTGCGGGAAAATGGGATCTGGTATTTCAGGCTGCTGCAACACCACATGGGGAAAGGAAGCCACATGAGAGGGCAGCTTGTCCCCGCCTTCCCTGACCCACACCTGGGTTCATCCTGGTGGAGGACATGGATGCCCTGCAAGATGCTCACTGCAAGATCGCTTTGCTAACCAGCTCCTCCCAGAGCCCCAGGGTTGGGATCTGGAGCAGTATGTGGTGACCGGACACCAGTCAGAAACAGGCTCAGGTCCCCAGCCTGCCTGTGACACTGTCCCCATCCTCCATCAGGTAGCGTGGCCACAGGCGGTGGCATTTCCTTGCGGTGGAGGTGCCATTGGGTCCCCAGGCCATGTACGTGCTGCCACGCTGGGCTCCCTCCGGCCCACCGACAGGTCTGCTCCAGGAGTTTTCCCCATCCCGTGATGGGGGGCTGCCAGGGATTTCGTGCTGACTGTGATAATGCTGACCAGTGTCGGGACCTGTGGCACGGAAACTGCCCCGGTTCTTCTGCAGCTTCCTGCCAGCTGCTCTGGGCTCCAGAAATAGCCCCTGCTCAGCCTGCCCTGCACCGCAGCTGGGCAGCTCCCGGCTGTCACCACCTCCAGCTGCTTGGAACGGGGCTGCCAGCTCCCCACGGTGGGACACAGGTGATGGGGGGCTTGGTGGCACCCGCAGAGCTTGGGGATGGTGAGACCTACCAACAGATGCATCTCCCAAAAGCAGACTGCTGCTGAGGCCATGTGTAATTATCTGCCGCCGAGGCCGGCGTTAATTGCTGCTCCCGCTC